TGGAGCATCCTGCTCGTTCCCCACCTCCCCGCGACCCCTCCGAGCGGCTCCCGCCCTCACGGCCCCTCACGGCCCCTCACGGCCCCTCACGGCCCCTCACGGCAAACCACGCCCTCCGCGTGACGTCACCGCGCGCGGGCCCGCCAATCCGGCCCCGGCTCCCCCTCCCCGCCCCTCCCCGCCCCACGTGCTCGGGGCCGGCCCCGGCGCGCGGCGGCTCTCGCGAGATCCCCGATGTAAACAAAGCCGCGGGGCGCGCGCCGGGGGGGGCAGCGCCGCCCGCTTTTCACCGCCCCGGCCGCGTCCCGCCGCGCCCCGCCCACCGCCGGGCAGCGCGGCCGTCGATTGGCTGGGAGCGGGGCTCGGCCCGCCCCCGGCGCGCTGCGATTGGCTGCGGGCGCGGTGCGCTGGGTGTCATTGCCCGGGGGGTCCCAAACAGTGTCAGTGGCGCCGGGAGCCCGGCAGGTGAGGGCGGCCCGGGCCGGGGGCGCGCGGCGGGGCCGCGTTCGGGGCAGAGCTGCGGCGGCTCGCAGCGGCCCCGCGGGGAGGCCAGGCCGGGCAGCGGCTGGGGCGGGGGGCGGCGGGCATGGCAGGCCCGCCCGTGAGGCCTGGGAGACCCCCGACATCTGCGGCCGGAGGGCGCGGGATGTGAAGCGAGGAGCGGTCGGCGGGGTGGGCGCGCTCCGGGAGGCCGCGGACCCGCTCACCGGGCGGCGGCGGGAGAGAGGCCGGGCAGGTCGCGGTGTTTGGGTGTGCAGTTGCTCAATAGCGGCGGCCCAGGGTGCCCAGGCCGGCCCGGCCGCTGTCGGGGCTCCGGAGGGGTCGGGCGGTCCCGGCCCCTCGGCCCCGCCGTGGCGGCTCCGCAGGTGCCCCGAGCTGAGGCGCGGCTGTGCCGAGGCCCAGATCAGGAGCTAAAATCTGTCCCGGTGCTTCCTTCCCCTCGGGGTGGGGTGGCCCAAGGTGTTGGCACTTAGGGCACGGCAGGCTCAGGTATCCGTGGGGTGATTTCATCCCTTCCGTGACATTTCGCCTTTCAGGGTTCCTGGGCGTGTATGTCAGGCTGCTGTTGTGTTGCCGAACGTTTTGTTAATTAATCATTATTTTGCTACTAATTTCTGAGTGGTTATCCCGTCTCCCTTAATGAGCTGCCTCTTGCCAAGTCTGGTGTGACGTGAAATGATGCTGATAACTGATACCACGTTGGAGATTCGGCTTTTTCTTTTACTTTATGAACAGGTTTGGGGTGGGGGGATACAACAGAGCAGCTGAGGGAGTTCCCTGAAGAGCTGGCTGGGATCTGTGGTGCTCCTCAAGTGCTTTCTGCCTTTAGGAATGCTACACAGAATTTTCCCTTGGAGAACAGAAGCGTGAAGGAAAGCTTGAAGATGGCACAAAAAGCTGACATAAAGCAGTAAAACGTGTGAGCTGCAATGTAACCCATATTTTCAAGAGTACAGTACGCTGCAATTGCCTTTGCACGTTATTTTTATATAATTATTTTCTGAGACAGCAGTAAATAGTGGGTTTGTGTAATGGTGATGACAACTGTCTACCTGTACCACTATCTTTAATCTTGGAATCATAGAATGGTTTGCATTGGAGGGCTCCTTAAAGATCATCTAGTACAGTTTGAGATAATTTTCGCAGGTCTGTGGGGTTTGTTTTTTTGTTTTCACAAACATTCCGGGAGCTGTAGTGATTGAAGAAGTTGCCTGCTTGGTGCGTGGTTTTCTTTTTCTCATTAAAAAAAAGGTCTGTGTAAGTGAAGTTTCTCTCTTACCACCTTGAAGAATTCACCAAGAGCCCGTGTGATAAGTAACCCTGTGGAAATTTTAGTCAAAGCGCTGTGTTTGTTGCAGGTGCGTGCCCAGGAACGATGGCGACAGAGTCCCCGCGCCGCCCCAGTCGCTGCACTGGAGGAGTGGTGGTTCGCCCTCAAGCTGCCACGTAAGAACCTTCTAGAAGAACAGCCCTTACTGAGAAGGGGTTGATTTTCTTGTAGAAGACCCCAGGCTGAGCTGGTTTGGGTTTTTTCCCCCCAAAGCCAGCTTGTGTTGACGCTGCAGTTTTGTCGCGTTGAGCGTTGTCCAATAAAGTCAACACATGGCATTTCTGTCTCCCTAAATGGGATCCTTTGCAATTGCACACCAAAGTTGTATACTTAAAGGCTAATCACTGCAAAGTTTTGTTCTTGTTTGCACCATTTTGCTGTACAAACATTGCAATGTAGAAAAGTGATGCCAACTTTTTCCTTAGGCCGGAGGGATGTGCCACATGTGATCCTTTCTTGCTGCTCTTTTAAACAACACCCTGTCCCAGGAGTGGATATATTAAAACATGCAAAACTTGTCATTTAAGTCCTCCAGGAAGGAGAATTGTGGATTTTTTTTTTTTTTTAATTTTGCTTAAAAGAAAAAAAAACCCAAGAAAAAAGGAAGAAACTCGATCCTTCTGGTCAGAGCACCTGACAGACACATTTTGTGCCTGGGCATCCTGATTTTCACTGTGTTTTAATGAGAATGCTTTCATGGCAAAAGAGCTTTTTGGCTGCAAGACAGCCTAGAAGATTTATGGTCTTTTCTTTGTTAAAGGAGTTTTGTAGCAATTTTTATTTCTTCCTTGGGATGCTTATGCTGCCACAAAATGGCACCGTATGGAAATGTCCACCTCAGGGGGACTTACTGTGCCCTTGGAGATAACTCTGTATTTCCAGAAACAAGATTTACTTCCATTTCTATTGAAGAGCACAAGAACCTGATTGTTGTAACACATAAAAGTTGTGTTAGAGCTCTGTCTTGCAGCCATTTTTTAATGTGGCAGATTTCCTCAACATTTCCTCTCTTTAACAATGTTTTCTTCAAAATATGTTTTAAAAATATTACAATAGAAAAGCACTGTAAGAAGATGACTATCTGGTTTATTTTTTTTTTACTTAAACATGGTATTTTGTTCTTGAGGTATCTGTTTGTGCCTCAAAAATGTCACTGTTTTTGATGAATCTGTGTGTGCTGAGCACTCAGCAGCATTCTGCTGCTCATGTTACGTTTCTACATCATTATTAAAGGAAGATTGGGCTTTTTTTGTGGGTTATGTTTTTTTTTTAACCACTTTAAAGACATCTCCCTGGAACTTTTTCAACTTCAGGAGAGGTTTAGAACAGTCTGAGTCTGGGAGTCTGAATAGAACACCTTGCAAACATCAATTTTGGTTCAAAATGCGCTTGGGGAGAGGGGAAAGAAGTGCATTCCATGAGCTGACCCATGAAGGCAGCATGACTCTGGCTGGTTGGCATTCCCAGGACACCTTCAGATACTGTGTTTAATGCTCTACCTCTGGCCAGGCGTTTTAATAAAGGTGTGCAGGGGCAGCTTGGGTGACCTACATAAATCAGAGAAGAATCAACACAGGAGAAACCACAGGCTGTTTGTAAGGCCTCAGCCTAAAGCTGAGTGGGACAATCTGGGATGCAGAAATGCTGGGATTGCTGGTTTGGGCATGGGCTGAAATAGGCTTTCTGGAATGTAAAACTTCCTAGTTTAGATTCATCTCTGTTTTCAAAGAGGTGTTGCAGTGTTTGGGTTCACGTATCTTCTGTGTAATTGTGTGTACTCCTAAATTCCTCAGAGTGCTTCATTTTTCAGTGCTAAACACTCCTGGTTTTATTAAAACAATCTTGCACAGCTTCAGAAAAAAGCACCTTTGGCCATCCAGAAGTTCCTAATTTACAGTTCTCCTTTGTTGCTATGAGAAATCTTCAGTTAGCACAGGAAAAATTACAACAGCATAAAAGTTAATTTTGGAGCTGCCAAAACTGTTGCCTAAAGAAAACCTGAAGGCTTTTCTTAAATAATCTCAGACTTTCTGAAGGTAGCTCTTGTTGCCAGCGTGTTTCAAGTGTTCCTCAGGGCACAAAGCACCAACTTTGTGCACGGTCTCAGCACCATCTGTGTGCTGCACTCAGCCCACGCTGTGGTTACTCAGCAGTTGCACAAGGGCCTCGCTGCTCCTGCAGGGAGAGGCTGCTCAGAGCATTGCTTTAAATCTGCCCCAACAAATGTATCTTGCACTGTAAACCATCCCCAATCCGTGCTGCTAATGAAATTCCAAGGAGGAATAAGCTTCCCAAGGTATAAAATCTGATCTGAAAATACGTCTCCTTGCTACTCTTGGGAGGGTTTTGTTCCATCCCCTGCTCCTGAGCACTGCCATGTACTCTGGCATTGTGCATCATGCACTGGAGCTCTGGAAGTTTGTTTGTGCCACCAGCAGAGCTCCAGTCGTTGTTTAAATCCTCATTTTCACGTTGTACGAGCCAAATCAAATAGAAAAATCCCGAGGAATCATTTCCAAATCCCTGTACCACCCCAGGCCCCTCTGATGTGGAGAACATGGCTTATTCCTTGAATTTAGATTTTATACTTTCCCCCCAAGCAGTTATTCCATCAGCAGGTATCATTTGGCTTTTTTAGGGACTTTTATTACTCTTACTTAGTTGTTTCATTACTTACAGGCCACAATTCATATTATCAGACTTTGGCAGTAAAATGAAGTGCCTGCATTGCATGCTCAGTATTCTCCTATGTGCTAAAGGTGGCCGATGCTTTCTTTTGCTGATCTAATTTAATATATTCATGACCATTTCTGAACTCTTTTGGCTGAAATTCTCTTTCTGTTTTCCAGGGAACAGTCATACATGGAAAGTGTTGTTAACTTCCTCCAAGATGTTGTGCCACAGGTAGGGCGTGGATCTTTTAAAACTACTTTTTTTTCAGTGCACAGAAAGCAGTGTCAGGAAGCCTCACAATGCTTTGTGAATTTATTATTTCATCTAATAAATAGATAAATATTTTTAATGTATACTTATGTATTTTAGTGCATTTATATATAATAAATATGGCACTGGAATGGTCCCTTCCTGGTTGCCCATGGGCCTCCCAGTAGCAGAAGGGAACTAATTTCGTTTTACTCTTTGGGAAAGCTGTAATCCATGGTGGAGGAGCACTGCAGCTCATTGTAGCTTCCAGAAATGATCCTAATTCTGATTCCAGGGATTATCTTGGTTACTTAGTGACTTGTTTCCTCATGAATTTCCTCTTAGGAATTCCCAGTGCATTTATTCTGTAATAATAAAAAAAACAATGCCCTCAGTAATACCAATTTGTGAAATACTTTTTGGACTCCAAATATATTTAAAGTTTCACTGAAGAGATTGCTGCATTCCACAGCCTCCCATTCCCCCTCTCTGGTTAAAGGATACAGTCTGTGTTTTATTTTACAAATCAGCTTGCCTTGGAAGCGTGGAATGTGATTTGTTTTGAAAAGTAAACCCCACACTTATTTTTTACATTTGTATTTTTAGTTCAAGTTATTGCTTTTCTGGCATGTATAAAGTGATTATACAAGATGTGTTCATATTTAATCCCAAATAGTGCTCAGTATTTTGGTATAATTCATTTGGAAGTGATGGTATTTCTGCTGGTGCTCATGTTCCTGCTACCACAGCTTCTCCTGAGGACTATAAAACCTCCAGTTTGGAAACACTGCAAGTCTCACTCCACAGTTTCTTTTTGTATCTCATCTTTTTATGGGAATCAGTAGAACACAGGACTGAAACATGGATCTGTTCTCCTGGAATTGCAGTTTATTCTCTTTTAAATGGCTGCATTAAAGTTGTCACAAACAGAACTGAAAGGTGTCAGTAATATAAACGGTGTAGTAAAGGTCTCTTTCTTCTCTCAGTCTGGCTTGCAAAGCTTTTAAGTGAATTAAAGAGAATTTTAATGATAAAACACCTCATGTGAGAACTTCCAACACTGCTGAAGTTAAAGATTGTAGAAGCCACTGTGTTTAATTTTATTAACTCACTCTAAGTCACGTGGCATTTCTTACCTGCCACAGAAGATTTATTGTTATAAATACTTTGTGATTCCTCCATCAGTGAGTGATGCTCAGCATGGTTGTGTTGTGTGAATACTGGTGACAACAAGATCCATGAATCATGTTTGTTGTTTTACATTAAATTCCTTCTTACAGGCGGAGAAAAAACACTCCTAATCTTTCTTATTTCAACCATTTTGCTTTTTGTCCAGGCCTACAGTGGAACCCCTCCAGAAGAAAAAGAGAAAATTGTCTGGGTCAGATTTGAAAATGCAGATTTAAATGGTATGACTTCATTTTCTCTCACTTGTTCTTGGGAGTTTTGGGTCTATGTGCAGTAGTTCCAGCCAGCTTTCTCTGTAATAAACATTATAATTTTCTCGAGTAAAACCCCTCTTAAATGACTTTTACAACCATGAGAGAATGAACAAAGCTCCCTAAAAGCATGGAAGCATCAGGGGTTTATTTGGGGTGATGGAAGAGGATGTTTTCAGGCCCAATCAGAACAGGCTGCATAAAATAAATTTAAACATAACGTGAAGGATTCTGAAAAATATTCTAAAGAGTTTTGTTGTATGAACCTAAAAAGGGAATGCCTGAGATTTTTTTAAAAATAAAAGGAAAACAAATCCACAAGCAAGCAAACATTAACTGGCCAAAGATGCTATAAAGCCATGTAGAGATTATAAGTAATTTCTAATTCTAACAACCTTGATTTAGGTTCTCTCTCACTCCATCCCTAACCTTCCTTTAATGAAAAGGGAACAGGAATAAGCAGGTGGAAGAGCTCAGGTCTGAATGAGGAATCAAATCACCATTTTCTCTTAGATCATGTTGTTATCCAGAAAATATTTCTCCATCATTTTAAATTGAAAAGCTTTCTCTTAGTGAAACTTTAAATGTGCTGTTTGCATGAAAGAATATATTTCAGTATTGTTCCAGCATGAAAATGTAAAGCACTTTGGTGGCTCTTAGCTCTAACTAAGAGGAAATTAGTTCTAACAACTGAGGAAACACCATCTAATGGTGTTTAATGTTGCTGAGAGCTTGATCCTGACGTCTGATAATGGCTTTGCTGTTGGAATCTTATTCAGATACATCCAGGAATATGGAATTCCATGAGATCCACAGCACTGGGAACGAGCCCCCGTTGCTGCTGATGATTGGATACAGCGATGGGATGCAAGTCTGGAGCATACCTGTGAGTACAGAGCTCACCTTCCCCCCTCCTTCTCATTTTCTTTGCCAATATTATACTATAACTTTAATATTTTACCTTGAATTTTTCCCATTGGAGTGGAAAGCGCCAACGCTTCCCATCAATGTTGTATGGATTGTGTGTAATGTGCTTATCTTCAGATAATCCTGAGCACAGCTCAAACACTTCAGTTCATGTACCTGCAGATTTTTGAGGACTTTTTACACATAATTCCTGCTAAGTCCGTTTCCAGACTCACACTGGGAGCAGTGTTTGCCATTCTGGAATAGTTTGTAGCCCCCCCAAAAAAACGGATTTTGCTTTTTAACAGAAAGGAGTAAGGGTGGAAAAACATCAAGAGCCTCCCAACAAATCCCTGGGATTTGTTTGTCCCAGGAACTCAAGTATGACAGTATTAATAGTATTTTACAATCACATGTTTGTCATGGACATGATTTGCAATTTTAATTTTACGAAGGGCTCTGTGTGCATGTGGGTTTGATTTCAGGCTGTCATCCCCACCCCCTGGTTTGTGCTGCAGAGTGGTTTCTGGGGCACGTGGGCTTCATTTGGGAAGGAAAATCTGGGAATTTCCCCCAGATTTTTCAAAATGAGAGACTAAAGTTGAATACAGTAGGTCATAAAATTTAAAAAAGCAAAATTGCTCACACTTTGTCCTTCAGAATAAAGCAGAGAGGATCAAGTTCTTTCCCTTTTTAAAATACACTGTTTTTTTAAGAAATGTGTACATTTTACAACTTTTTGGTTAGCTATGTAGGACATGTGTTTTTATACCAGTATTTTAGAAAATAATTTCTATAGCAGCAGTGCAGTTAAATTGAGTTTTATGGGTGTGGTGGAGCTTTTCTCCTCTTGATTGCATCTTATTATCTTCTTGATTGCATTCATTAGCTGGAATGAGGAAATAAAAAATCTGATGAGGTTTTGAAGGAATGAGACCTAACACACTTCGCTAAATTTCAGTATTTTGTAGCTGTTTATGAAAATTTAGGAACTTGAACTGAAACTCGGGACCATTTCAGCCAAAGTGGGGAATTTCTCTCGCGCCCACGCGGTGGCGCTGGGACACCGAGCTAAGAGCGGCACCGCAGCCCCATCAATCCCTTAATTAATTCATTAGCATACCCTGAGTATCACATCGGCTTGAGCTCAAGAATCCTCACAAAACACCCTGTTTTATACAGCTGAAATGTTATTATCCCAATAAACCTGTGTTTTCTGCTAAAAAAGGGAGATGTGTTGCCATGGATGGATTTTTTTTCCTTTTTCTCTATATTTTATTTTTTTTCCCCCCCTCCTTTTGTCCAATTCCAGGCCATGGAATACCTGATTTTGCCTTTTTTCTAGTAGGACCGTACAGCCAAGCTGTCTTTTTTTTTCTCTCAATACATTTCATGTCTTCATAATTCCTAGCTGTTGATAGTATTTGCTATTTCAGGAAAACTAACAAAAATGAAGTTGCAGGACAGCTGCTTTTAGTGTTGTTCAACCTTTGCAGAAGTATGAGCAGAGAGAAGTGCAGTGAAATGGAGAAAATGCCAAATGTGGTGATATTTTACCCTCCACCTTCAGGGATATTGCATCATTTTGCCAGCCCTTTATTTGTAGATTCTGTGAAATTCTGAGAGCACAGCCAGGGAGGTGCAGCTTGGACCTGGACACTGGGTTAGTTCAGTGTTGGAATGGTTCCTCTGTTAGTGGAGATTTTCACAGAATAATGATCTTTAACATCAGTTTTAAATACCTTTCCAGAGCAGGGTTTGTATATCCAACAAATTAGGAGGGAGCATAAACTGGAGGGGGTTTTACTGAAACTGGAGGGGGTTTTTCACATTGTTGCTTTTCCTTTGCATTTTCCCCCCTTGCTCAGCCTGAGCACAATAAAACCTGGCAGTTATGTGATTGAATTAATATTTAAGAGCTTATTTGGCAACACTTTTTTGTGTCCTTTGCTATTACACAAACCTTCCTTCTTGGAAAGCTGACTATTTAGCTTGTAATTAAGCAATGTTATTCCAGCTAAGGAAAAAAAAAAAACACCAAAAACCCCAACCCTGCATTCTCCAGCTTAATCTGCAAAAGCAACAATCTGACATTTATGTGCAAATCTCCTCAGGAAAGTCATTATCTGTAGCATTGTGCTTTTTTATTCCTACAATTGGCCCTCTATTCAGCACTTAATAACGTGTTGCAGGCAGCAGGGGTTGTGTGTGAGTGATTATGAAGTGTTTATGACAGCTCCTAAGCCCACACTCCTGCTAATGGTGTTACATGGCCTTGCCCACACCTCGCTGCTGTGTCTCTGGGCAGGCTGAGAGTGCTTTCACGTTGACATCTCCTCCGAGGAAGATCTTTGGACTACAAAAGTGTGATTTGCAAAATGGGAGATCCCATTAGGGCGGCTTCAAAGGGCTTGGGGTGGTGTTTGAGGGAGCCTGGCCTTGGAAGTGCAGCACAAGGTGTCCATCCAAAGGGCTTGGCTTTGATCTCTGCTCTCAGATGGGGGTGGGAAGGTTAAAAGTGGACTTAAAATACTCCTGGCTGAGTGGGGAGGAATCTGGGAATACACTAGGAGTTCCTGTTTGATAATGGTGCAGTGGAGTTTTGTGTTTTGTTTGGAATTTGTTTTTTCCCTTGCTCCCAGTTTCATGTTTCAGAGACAACTGGATCTGGTTTCTGCCTGATGTGGTTTCCAAGTATCTGTTCTAGATGTTCCTGTTCAGGGAATGCATGTTGGCTGCTTTTTTTTTTTTTTTGTTTTCATTGTAGGCTGGGAGTTTTAGAAGTAGAAAAATCATCATAATGGAATGGTTCTTGTTACAATGAAAAAAGAAACTTATCACATCCCAAGCTGCAATCCTTCCTCTGTCCAGACCTCTTTCTAGAGGAAACCACCTGCAAGTACCTCTCAGAAAAATGGAGTAATGACCTGACCTGGTGACCCTGAAAAATGTCTGAGGACTTTGCAAAACATCTATGCAGATCATTTGCTGAGACTTTGGGGTTTTTAAACTGAGGAGGCACCAGTGTACAACAAATGTGGTTTTACAAAACTTCTGATTCTATTAGCACTGCCATTATTTAAAGTACTAGGTGCAGCTTCATCCTCCATCCAGTCACTAGAGTAACATTCCTTGAGCATTTAAATTCTTACAGTCTCCAGATAATTACAGAGATCTGGTCTGAATGGAAAAGCTGAGTGAATTTCTAAACAAAAGTGATAAAATTTGTTCATTTTCTTCCAATCCTTTCTTACTTTCTCATCAGCAGCGTGACTGGAAGTTGCCATTAACCCATATACAGCAATATTTGGTGGTGGTATCTATCAATTGCTTATCTTCATATTAAAACATCATATCATGATATCTTCATGTTTAAAATATGCATCTGAATATTTAAAAATGACCTCTAGATTTGCATGGTGGTTCTAACATTGAGTTCCAAACTCAATTTCGTTTCACTTTGGTGTATGTTTTTTTTTTTTTTAGGTTCTTTTTCACCATGTGAAAACTATTTTCTCTGGTTGGAAACTATTATTTATCCTCGGTGTGAACAAAACTTCCTTTGTTCCGTTTTTTTTTTATGGGTGCAAACTGGTGTGCTCCAAACAATAGAGCTATGCTGTCAAAACCAGCACTGCAGATTCCTGGGCTGTCATGTTTTAAGCAGTAGCTTGAGATGTCTTAAGTGGAGGAGAAGATTCTTCTTCCTCCTTTAATCAACACTTTTTTTGGGTGATTTGAATCCTTTGCTTCCAGCCTTCCCTGTAGGTCTGGGAGCTGCGGTTGATCCCAGGTTTTGGGAAAGCTGAGATGTTCTACCAGACCAGCTTGGAGCCATCATTTTGGATTCCCTCTTCCCTACAACGAGTACCTGAAGCTGCTTTTGCAGCTTAATATCCAATTCTTGAAACCTGTTTGGAAATACTCTTGGCTTTTGGAATGGAAAAGTAAAACTTTTAAGAGCTCCGAGAGCTGCCACGGGGACTTGCTACTTAGCTGGATCCAATCCAAAATGGCAGCCACAGCCTCATTTCTCACAGGTGCTTTTTGAAGAATTTAGAGCTCTGTTTTCAATTCATGAGCTCTATTTATATTTTGTCTGTGCGTGTGAGACTGTGGAACTCCAGGGACTGGTAATGGGATGTGGAGCCTTTGGCTGAGAGTTGCCAGCCCACAGCTGAGCTGTTGTCCCCTCAGAGCGCGGTTCTTGGTCCCACTCGAGTTCCTGGTGGGAAAAGTGTCCCACCCACAGGGAATGAGCAGTGAGATTCAGGCCACACAATCTCTGTCCCCTGAAGGAGGAGCCTGCAGGCAGATTGGGTCTGCAATAAACTTTTATCCATAGATAAATGAAGGGTGTTAGTATTAACCACAGTTAGTTCAGGCTTTTATAAGACTGCAAAGAGCAGAAGCTTCTGGTGGTGGTGCTGTTTGAAGGAAGTTAATTGGAATTCAAAGAAAATCTTGAACTCGAAGCCCTAATGCATTTTTCAGTGCCAAGCAAACCAAGGAACAGCCAAGCTCTTACTAATTCATGGCAGACACAACATGCAATGTCTTCCATGAGTCCCTGTCTCAGCAGAATAGTTAAGGACACACAGCTTAAATCCTTAGAAAAAGCTGTTATTTTATGAAACTATGCTAGATTAAATGTTAGTGTTTTAATGTGATCAGTGTTGTAGTGTCACGTCCAGATTTTTTGAAACTCAGTTTTGTGCCTGTTAGCGAATTTGAATTTTCTTTACAAGCCAGATGCTGGTGTTTGGGTGGCATCTTGAATTTTCATTACAAAGCCTCCAGTGAGGGTGTATCTTAAAATTTGCTCTGTTTTAGCTCCCAGGAGTCAGCAAGTGCTCAGCACTTGAGCTGTGGAGGCTGAACCCAAACCATTCCATGATTTAGAATGCTGCAGGGACTGAGCAGAGGACCTGTTAACCTACAGTGGTCTCAAAACAGGGGCTAAGTACCTGTAATCTCCTTTTAGTGACTGTTGGATCCTGTGCCTTTTTTTACTCCATTTAACCTTACTTTCTGTAATTTCCCCCCAATAGAAAATAATAAATTATCTTTAAATAATGAATATAAATTATTCAATAGTTACTGCATTATATGCATGAGAAGAACTGGGCTGGGATTTCCATGTTAAATGCTTCAGTACAAATAAACTTCATTTCTATTTGGACATTTCAAGCTTTTCTTTGCAAGTCTCAAGATTAAACTCTACCAGGTCTTGGCACCCCAGGCTGGATAAACATTCTCCTGGAGTTCAGGATATTTAAGAGCAGAACCTGTGTTAAGAAGGTTTGGCCCTCTCAGTGTGTCTTCCTTGGGGGACTGGAACTTTGTTTGAAGTAGATTGGAGCTGGGGCTGATGTGCTGGCAGGGTTAAAAAGGAGAAGGAGGTGTGTGAGCTGGGCTGGGATATTTTATGGGAATCACTCCTTCCATACCTTTGTTGTGCTGGTTCCTTTCCCTCTTGTTTTCATTCCTAGCCAGAGATGTGCATACACGTGTGAAACAGCATTTTCAGGATTTGGGGGAAAAATCTTTAATTGCCAATAATAATAATTCCCAAACCTTCTGTTTTTCTTCTTTTCCATTTCCTCCTTTCCCTTTTCATAGAGCTGCTGTGTTCCAATGGACAGAAAATGTGCTGCTGTCTTAATTTTTAAAATCTGTTTATTACTCTGTCCCTCTTTAATTTTCCTCATTTTCTGCCTAGCTGTGCTCTACATTTTCTTGAGCTGTTTTTTCTGGATACAGATGTTTTCATCCAGAGGCTTTTTTTCCTCCCACCCCCACTGCACTCCAAGCTCATGATCAGTTAAAAGCCATCAGCAAACCTTTAGTGAGTTCATTTCTGATGGTGTCATTAACAGTGATTTTAATTGATAAACTGCTGGGCTAAAATGGTTTAAAATATTATTTCCCCACATTTGTGTAGCTTGTGTGCAATTCCAGGCTTAACAGGGAGAAGCAGTAGTTCCCTGTATGCAGAATGCTGGCTTAGCTCTGTAGTAAATGGCATTTTCAAAGTAATTTTATTTATAATTGTGCTCTGTGGGGTGGGTTTCATTCTCCCCCATGACCTAGAGCAGTGATAATAAATAACCAGGCAAGAGTGGATGTAAGCTGAGAGCCTGGAGTACTGTACTTGGGATTTGCTGGTCAAACAGTAGGAGTATTTTAACTTTTTGGACGTGTGAGCTGAAGTGCAGAAAGAAATGGAAACAACCATAAAATGACATTTCCAAAAGTTCACTTGAATTTATAGTTTATTGATTCCTAAGAACCTCATTCCAAATCATGTTCTCTTCTGATATTGTAAGCTGCTTGTTTGGCAAAACTTTATGCCAGCCTTGGCTGTGTTCTGAGGCTCATTACATCTGTTTTAAGTTGTTGGTTAGTTGGAAATGAGCTTCATAATGTTTGCCATTTTCCTGGAGTTTGACGTTCCATATCGGATCCATTTCCAGGCAGTTATGAAAATACATTGAGTGACCATTGCAGGAAGTCTGGAAATTCATCTTAACTGCTTCTGGTTTAATCTTTTCAACATTGCCATCAGTGACAGGCTTAAGGAGCTTGACCACCTATTTTTAAACATGGTTTTCACACCTGGTGAGTTTGAAATGAACCAGTATATGAAATTCTCCCATTTTCTTCCACCCATGTTTGCCACTCTTGATTGATCTCTGTTGAGCTGGCATTTTCTTTTAGAACCATGTGAAATGTGGGATAAATTTTGGTGAATTTTAGCTTCAAGTCTTCTTCCAAAACCTGTGTGGTCATGAACAGTTAATTGAAGACTTCTAATATAAATTTTCAATTGGAGAAATGGCAGTGCTTGCTCAGGCAGAATCTTACCAATGTACTTCCCTACCATGCCTTTCTACCTACCTTCTTAGCCATTAAATCTATCTATTTTTGCAAGTATAAATCTGGTTTTTGCCCTGCTGTTGGCATTTGCAGATCAGTGGGGAAGCTCAGGAGCTGTTCTCGGTGCGCCACGGGCCGGTTCGAGCCGCTCGGATCCTCCCAGCTCCTCAGATCAGTGAGTACACACTTAAATACATCATCATTCACCAGAACTTTTAAAAAGGCTGCTTTTCCACTCCAGTAAAACTAACAAGACACCACAGTTGGTTTTTTTGGGGTGTCACTGGCTTCTGATTTGTTCAATTTCTCCTTATTTTACATTAACTTTACTCACTTTGACCTTTTCAGTGGTTTAAATTTTATCCTCCCTTGAGTGCAGCTCCTCTCTGCCACTGCTTAAATACTATTTTATCAAATTCTAAACCAAGCTGCTTAATTTAACAGGATTCTTCCAGAAGTTGAGTTAACCCCAAGAAGAACTTGTTTCAAAATCTGAGCAGCTGTGCATAAAGAAGCAAATTACTCTAAAAAATTTATGCTGCTCCATCCAAACAAAATCTAATTGTTGACTTCTGAAATAACTGTTTGTGTCTCAATTAAATTGGTTGTTTTACTCTGTGGATAAAAAGAATGTATTTCTAACATGACTGAGGTGTTTGGGGATTATGCTGGGTTAGAATTTCTAGTAATATTTTATGAATTAATTAATTAACTCAAAATAATACAACCTAAAATCTAATTGTTTAACTTATTACAGCCTAAAATCTTATTGTTTAAATTATTCATAGTAAATTGTACTGATTTTGTATATTTCAAAGAAAGTAAATGAAGAATGTTTAATGGAAACATGATATATTGTTTTGGTGATTTCCTGAGCAGAGGAATATACAAAGTATATGTGGCTGTGTAACTATTACAGGTTAAACTAACTTACAGTAAAATACTTCCCAAGCCTGTTGTTCCTTTATTCCATTTACTGGAACCCTGCATAATTCCCAATGAGCTGCTCTTTTGCTATTATGTGTGTCATTGAGTAATGGATGTCTGTGCCCCTTCCTCTCCCAAAGGAAAAAAAAAAGGAGAAAGAGAAGTGGAAATGAAAATTAAGTAAATTAACTGAAGAACCTGGGAGTTCTGTTTTTTTCTGGTATTAAAACAGGTTTTTGATTTTTCAATCAAGTAAATCACACTCATGAACTCCTTCCAGCAGTCATTGTCTTTCTGCCCCTAAACTCCATATATTTAGCATCTGACAATGATAGTTGTTCCATTAGAAAACTATTCAAATTAGCTCATATTAAATTAAACCAAACCTTTTAAAAACATGTTTTGGTCTCTTTTTACATGGCTTGCTTTAAATAAATCTTTGATTAAAAGTACATGAATGTATCATTGACCAGTATCTGGAATCAGATAAAAGTAAAGCTGTAAGAAGAGGCCTTAGATAACTAACTCATGAGCTTTAATGATTCTGCATGAAATAAAAGGAATTTGTAAAGGAGAAGCTGATTACCATCAGCAGGCTCAAACACTGTTTTACTGTAAAGCTGTAGAAAGGGAATTATTGAAAGTAGTCTCTTGGTGGATGGATTTGGCACGTTCCTAGAAACAGATCTGAGCTGGTGATAAGCAGCTCATTCCCAGGTGTGAAAGGAAAGCTCATGGCTTTAACTTGGTGACTTTACAGCAGCAGAATTTAATAGTTTGTCAACTATTTCATTAAAAAACTGCAGCCTTTTGATGTTAGATCCTCTGCGGGTGGTGTGCCTGGTGGCATAATGAAGCCTTGTTTCAGAGGGGTGATTTCATGCAGGGCATCTCCTCCAGCAGGTCCTGGGTGCTGCTGGCAGCAGGAGCTTGGGCAGGTTTGTTACGTCAGGAGCTGGGCCAGTTCCTGGAGCTGCTGGCACTGCCTGCCCTGCTCTGTCTGAGCCCCCCAACCCGAACTGGCCCAGCCCTGCCCTGCTCTGAGCCCCCCTACCTGAGCTGGCCCAGCCCTGCCCTGCTCTGAGTCCCCCAACCTGAGCTGGCCCAGCTCTGTAGCATCACTTTGATGTCCTGCTCTGCAGCCTGGAGGAGATGGCCATGACAAATGTAAGCATTTCTGTAAATAATGCTAAACCTCCCAGGTATCAACTCTTCTCTGTGGTCAGGTCACACCTCCACCGCCTTCAGCAGTGCAGTTTACAATATACATGGCCTTTATGGAGACTGAGGGTTTGCACTGTGACCAAATTTTGGGCTTGCAGAGTTCATATTTAGACTATGAGAAATCTCAGTCTGGACTCTGGCAGTCTTAGGGACAGGAATTGTGAGCTGTAATAGCCCTGAGCCATCCTTGGCTCTTCCCCACTTCCAGATCTGGGTGCTGGGCTGGCTTTAGAGTTCTTTCCATGTGTCCAGGTGTGCTGGGGGCTGGATTTCCTGTCAGTGCTGAGGCAATGATACTCCTATTTCAGTTACCTTTGTTGTTCTTTCACCTACAAAATCAGAATATTGGTGCTTTTTGAAGGAAGTCAGTGCTACAATCTCCTATTTTTTATTACTTATTCCAGGTCATTTTACAAGCCAAATACCTGCTTTGCCTTGTGCTGTCCCATTTATCAAGGTAGAGCTGCATAGTTCAAAAATCAATCAAGAAGCTCAGAAAGCCAGAGGAGCAGCTCTGTGTGTGGCAGTTCCTGCTCAAAGGGGTGACAGGCTGGTGTGGTGAAGTTTAGATCAGTGTAAAACCTATTTCCATTTCTCAGCATTATGAAAATAAATTCCTCCAGCTCGCTGAATTAATTTATTGCCATTTTCTAGATTATGCTGCTTGCAGAAAGATGGTATAATAACCCTGCATCTCTCAGTGAATTTGACTGTTCACTCAAATTGACTTATAAGGGGGGAATAAAGCAAATAAAAAAAAGAAATAAAAACAATTTAGAGGTACTAAAACCCATTGAGAGTTGAAATATTGCAGCAGACTTATCCCTGTTCTCCACTGCTCTCATCTTTGATGTTGGTAAAATTAAGATTTGAACCTCAAAAGCTGACTCAGGTTTATGTGCAGGTACACTTAAAGAGCTCTAATATTTAGGTTGCTTTCTGAAGGAAGGCAGATGTGAGGTTTGTGTACGTTCAACCACTTGGGTGGTTCAGTGGTTTTAAATCCCCAAAGGCCAAAATAATCAAAGGGTCTGTGTGGTGGAGGGGCTGGCCCTGCACGATGGACAGGCAAGGTTTGGGGTGCTTGTGCAGGTGTGTGTCTGAGTTTTGGTGTTCTCTCTCTGTTCTGTGGGGTTTTTGGGATAATGAATGGTCATGTCTGTGGATTATAGAAATTACAGACTGGAATTTTCCAAGTAAGGCTTTTAGAGATGTTACAGGGAAGAATTCTGGAGTGCAACACTGTAAAATCCCAATTTCTTGGAATCTTTGGCCTGACCTGTGTTCCATCATCCCATCATAAATGAAATTAAATAATTATTTCATTATTTTCTGGTGCTTTAGACCAGTGCACCTGAAACTTCCAGCCAGCTGGGCTGAGAGGGAATTCCAGCCTGGGGCATTCCCAGGTACTGCTTTGTGGGGCAGGACCACAAATGCCACAAGATTTCCAAGGAAAAGATGGAAATGAAAGGGGTTTAGTGGAGCAGGAGCAGAGCTGCATTATTAAATGGGATTGATCAGTGGAATTACACACCAGGAAAATCCACTCTATGGTGTCTCTGCCCACTGCTAAATAGGTCAGAGTGTGAAATTCATCCAGCGCATTTCCTCCTCATGGGAAACCAGTTTGATTTCCAGAGTTCTGAGTAGCTTTGGAGTTCCTGTGACATCCACTGGGTTCCATTTTTATTCTGCATAAAGATGTGCTGGTTTTGGTGGTGGTGTTACTGTTTTTATTGGCATTATTGAGAGGCCTTAGCAGGCCCCGAGGTCTCTATTCACAGTTTCATCAGCAGGACAGGGCCTAAGCTGCTTTGAGCTTACGTGTGGGTAACCTTCTGACTTCATAAACTTCTAAATGTTGATTTGTATGAAATTTCATTTAGACACAGAGAGATTTTTTTTTTCCTTTTTTTTTTTTTTTAATTTTAAGCACACTAACTGAAGTTAGGTTTTTAAAAAATCAAATCTATCATTTAGCTAAATGGAGCTGTAGATAAGGTGGTGCCTTGTTGGCAGGAAGGGCAGTTTTCATTACTTTAATTGTGTGATTTGTCAGGATTTCCAGCATTTTATAAATGCTGGAGTGTTATATGACAGAGTTAAAAGGATTTAGAATAAAAGGAGTTTAAGAAAAAGACTTTGCAACAGGATTTCAATACTTTTTGTATTTGGGGGGATTTAGAGAGCTGTTTTTCATTTCAATTTTGTTAAACACTGTGTGCAGCAGGTGTGTGCAACGTCAGCGCCTCGCACATGCAAATAAACACAATTTTACAAATGAAAATTAATCCAGCCGAACTTGGGAGATTAAATCCCACCCCAGACCTGGGAGAGGCTCCTGCCTCCATTAGAGCGTGGCAGAGCCCAACACATGTCACTCTGTGCAATCTCATGGATGGGACAGCTATTAACCTGATTTAATGCCCTCAGAGGCCTCCCAGTAATGATCCTTTCCTGCACTATTAATATTTACATTCTGAAAGTATTGAAGTAGAAAATGGATTTTTTAAAATTGAGGGACTCGAGTCATTACAGGCAGAAATCAGAAGTTTAAGCACCTATTGCTGAAATTCTGCAAATCTGTACTGTGGGTATTAAACCTGGCACTGCTTTTGATTTTGGGCACTTGATTCCCTGCAGTCCCATTCATATTTTCCCTCCTTCTTTCCCCTTCCTTGTCATTAAACTAGACCATAAAAGAAACATCTGAATTTGTGTGTCTAATACATCCTAATGAAAAAAGAAGGAAAAAAGTAGAGTTCAATACTTCAGGTGAAATCCTGGCTGCACTTAAATGAGAACTGCAGGTAGTCAGCATTTCACCCCAGTGCTGGGAACAGAACAAGTGGAATTCATCTGTTACCTGGATTGAAGGAAACAAATTCGTTACGAGACTCTTAAGAAGACTTTTATGTTTCATTTATCAATTTCCAGGTCAGTACATACAGTACAGGTTTGACTCACCAAAGAGATTGAAATAATAGGAATAAAAGGAAAATACATCTGGCTGGTTTAGGTTACTTGTAAAGCTATTGTTGATGGTGGAGTTATTGATGTGACCCTTTTGACTTTATAAATACCCAAAGGTGTGGGAGGGAAGAGTTTTCCTTGTACAGATGAGAGGACTCAGCAGTGTTTGTTACAAATTAAATGCATGTACCTGAGTTATTAATAATTAACAGTCTGCTATGTCAAAATGTATATTGTTAATTGTTGTGCCTTTCTGAATAAATGGTTTAGTTTTGTACAGCAGTATTTAAGATTTAAATTTTGACCAGACTGTATCACTAATATTCTTTAGAGATCAAAGGGTTTGGTAAATAATGGAGAAAAAAAATGAAATTCAGTTATTCACCACACACCTGCAGACCTATAGATAGATAATAAAAAAGCCAAAGGATGAAAGAAAACGGAGGGAAGGTAGTAGTAGTGGTATTAGTTGTTACTTTATTATTTAAATTGGGTACAAACAAACCCTGGAATTCAGTTAAACATTGTTTACAAGCAGAAGTGAGATTTTTTTTTTAACTCAATTTTAGTTTTATTTCTATTTATGCAGCAGTAAAGCAAAGTTCTCCAAACTCTTAAAACCCCATTTTAAGAAGTGTGATGTCTTTAAGAGTGCTGGGATGAAGGTGTGACTGAGCCTGGGGGGACAGCAGGGCTGATTCCCAGTGCCAGGGCTGGTGTGGGAGAGGATCCCAGGGCAGGCACAGCTGGCCCAGCACAGCACAAACCCTGCTGGGCTGTGCTGCTGCCAGCACCCCTGGGAGTGGATGGGATGTGCTGTAGGAGCTGTGTTTGCACCTGGAGGTCCTTTCCTCAAAGGTGTCAATCTGCTGCTGCTGGAGCAGATGGGTCAGGTTTGAATTTCATCTCCTGTTTTCCTGGGCACAGGGCAGGGGCTGCAGGGCTGCTCCGAGGTTGGCACTGGTGTGTTCCATTTTTAAAAGCTGGGAACCAAGGTGGGAACTCCAGGCAGAGCTGCCAAGGGCCTCAGCACAGACAAGTTCATAAAAAACAATGAAAAGTGAGCGAGACCCACCGGTTACAGAATCCCAACCCCAAGTGGGATGAACAGAAAATCACTCCCAAAGCCTGGCCATGTTTTGCTGCTTGTGTTGTTTCTCATTTTCATCTCTGTCAAGATCAGTCTTTCAGTGCTCACAGCTCTGCCTTAATTTGAATTTCTGTCCCTCATCTTGCACAAGCTGTGGGTTTTGTGTTATATTTGATATATTTGGCCCCAACCTGAATTTGGGAACTGTACAAACTGTACAAAAAGTACACAGTGATTTGATTTTTCTTTTCTTTTGTTTTCCCTCTTCTCAGGTGCTCAGAAATGTGATAACTTTGCTGAGAAGCGGCCTCTGCTTGGTGTGTGCAAAAGCATTGGATCTTCTGGGTAAGAATGTTCTTTGTGTATAAAAGGAATATATAATTTGTAGTGCCATCTGAAAAGCCCAGTAGATGACATCTTTAAAACTTTGTTCCTTTTTTCTTCATGGAATAACACTGGGATGTGGTTTTAAACTATTTTTTTGGTGTGTCAACATATATTTTCCCAAGTCTTAAGCTATTGGAAAGGAATAAAAAAGAGACTCTCAAAATAAAATAAATAAAGAGGTATTTAAAGTTTATTTTATTCTCAGTGGAAGTACAACTTCATGATTAACCTTTTCTGATATTAATCTGGGTCAGAATTATTATTGTGTAGTGTTTAAAGCAGTCTCAGTGTCTTAAAAAGTAATTTTCCAAGCAGCAAATAAATCACAAATACCAAGCATTTCATTGTTGTAGCCACACACTGTTTGTTAGCAAAATACATGTTAAACCTCCTTCCTTGAGTTAGAAAAATCAGTTTACAGTCCTGTTTTGTGCTCTCTACAGAATTCTTGTATCACAGCTCTTATAAAAGAGGCCCTTAAGATATTTTATGTTTGGTTCAGACAATGCACAGGATTTATATCTCTACCTACAGGAAAATATTTGCTTTTCAGGAGTAATCCTCTACACAGCCATTTAATGGCTGAGCAGTTGAAGTAAATCTTCTTACAGTTGTAAGACTAATTCTGTGCCACACCTTTTTCAATTAAGAATTTAATCGCTGTGTGTGTGAAGGAAGAACTGACAAATCTTTACCTTTCTCTGTTATTACTGTGGTAAATTGAAATATTAATGTTACCTGCCTTAAATGTTTGAATGAAAATCCACATAAGGCAGAGAAGGGATTTTTTTTTCTACATGTATTTCCAACTTGCAAAAACCAGTTTATGGTGATTTTTTTCCTCTTGTTCCCTGCCCTGTAAGTGTAACTATTTATAAATTAGAGGTGCAAATACTGCTTTATGTTTATCCAAACAGTGTATTTATATATATAAAGGATATGTTGGTTTAGTAAAAATTTTCCTTCACACTCTTGTTTTAGAAGCTGAGAAATGAACAAACCCTGAAGATAGTTATTTTCATTGTGTTATTGTAGTCCTCAGTTAATGGAAAATAATTCAAAGATTATGGGCAGTTTCTGCTTTCCTCCAATAAAAGCCCCTCACGTGTTTTCAACACCATAATGTTGTCATTTCCAAGTAAGTTTTTGTTGTTACCATTATTAATTCCCAGATGAATTTCCTGATAATAGATTTTGTTTTCTATTCTTGTGTGTTACCATTTTATACTCATCAACAAGATGGAACTTTTGCCTCATATCTAATTTTCTGGTACACACATTTTTGTATTTTAAAAGTCACATTTTTCCAGCTAGTGAAATGACTGAAATGTTTCAGAGGGAGGTTGGACTGGATGATCTTTAAGGGTCCCCTTCCAACCCAAACCAGCCCATGACTCACTGTATAATCTTTTCAAAACAGTTGTTTTCACAGCCCCCCAAAAGATGCAGTCCTGACACAGAAATGGGAAACACATTGTGCTTTTTGGCTGATATTTCTCTGCTGCTTTAGAGGTTGGTTCAGTCAGCTTCAGTCTTAGATTACAAGATTTGCAAATTAAAAGGAAAACCAAAAAAGAAAGAATATCTGCCTAAATTTTGGGGTTGTGGAAGGTTGTAAAGACATGCCTGCTTGCTCCTGGTGATAATACAAACACATCTTTATACACAGACAAAATTAATTGATGGGTTTGGTGTTTATTAATGCATTTCCTAGGTGGTGAAACATTAAGATAACCCTGTTTTCCCTGCATGGGTTATTGAAGCCACGGTTTGGAACAGACTGGATCTGTAAAAACACTTTTAAATACACCAGAGAGGTCCAAAATCCATTACTTTTGTTTTGTTTAAATGAAAATGTACCAACATATTTAAATTAAGTAAATGCTTCATTTTACCTAATGGAGAAGTTTAGAGGGAAACCAACCAGGATAATTTTGTTTTGTTTTAGATTATTAAAAAAAAACAGTTGAGAATAAATGGAGAGATTGCAAATTTACCTTTCAATAGATAATATAGGTAACAAGAAAGCTGAAAATAATCAAAATTATTTTCCAGGAGGGAAATAAAAGCATGTGAGGGAGCAGGGACAGGGAGAAGGGGACAGGGAAGTCAGAGCCCTGGTCCTGTCACTACATGCTCTTTCTCCATCTTTCTGCAGGTACTGGCTCTCTAAGCCATCCTTTACAAAAAGCATTTGCTATTTTGGTTCCCTTCTCCTGTGTCCAAATAGCCAAATTATTTTGCTAAAAGATTAGCAGATTATGCCAGAATCTTATATAGGCAAGTATGATAATCAGCTAACGATGCAGGTCTAATTAATTAAACAATCAGTAATAGACGGTTAAAAAGTATTTGAGGCCTTTAGGGAGAGTGCAGGAGCTCAGGCAGTGGCCCCATCAGCAGCCTCTAGCCTGTGTTGGCTTTCCAGCTTATATTTTTAGAAAGTTGAATTAATTTAATACCAAGTGGTGGAAAATTTTGGATGACTTGAAGAATTGGATGGAGGTCATTTAAGGGCATGAGAAGCAAGAGGTAATCTTTATTAATCATGGGAGGAGAGAGGAAATTAGGGTAAATTAAAGAAGGAGGAGTAGCTGGAGCAAACAAAATGTGTAACTTTGGCTAGCCAGCATTTTTTCCCCCTGCTGATCTGTTTACAAGGCAAATCAATTGGCAGCAGATTTTCAGGAAGCGTGTGCTCTATTCACATGGCTACTGTAGATTAAATCCTGCTAACCTTAGCCCAACTTCAGCTCAGGAATGTGTTTATGGGAGTGCTCAGATTTAGGAAGCAGCTTCACATGAGTAACAGCAGAATTAAAGTGTTAATATTTTCTCAGTTATAATTTCAGAGTCACACGAGCCTGGTCTGGGTCTGGCAAAGTCATTGGGTAGTGCTAAAATCCAGTGTCCACTCTGTGTCCTTTTTGTAGCTTTTAATGCTTCAAATGAGCTGGCTGGGAAATGATTTGTCAGCCACAAACAGCAAATCTCCTGCAAGGATCACCCAAGAGGAGGAAACGAGCTCTGGTGAATGCAGGTTTTGTTCCCAGCTCTGACACTGCTCAGGGGAGCTCTTCCTGGAGTATTTTTCCTGGAATGCCCTTGCCAAGGCAGTGCTGATGGCAAGGACTCACCTGGCTCAGCCCTGCCATGGGCTGTGCAAAGGGTGTGCTCTCTCCAGGTAGAAAATGCAGTTTTGTTTTCTAAAATCACATAGAAAACTAGTCTGGGCAAGATGGTTGTGATTTTCAATTGTATTGGGTGCTGTGAAATAGATTTCATGAAGTTTGTGAAATATTTGTGGGCTTTTATTGAAGACTGCGCAAAACTCAGATTTTGTGAACACTCTCAAGCCTAGAGAGCAAATTTAATTTAATTATTTTGTTCTAAAACATACAGTAAGACCTCTAAAGTTGGGCAAAACTCTCATTTCTGTTACTGTTGAGGATTTGTGTCCCAATGGTTCTTGTGTTGCTGCATAACTGCAAAGCCTCATTAACTGCAGGGTTGTGTGGTGTCAGCTGCCTTGCAGAGACTTCCTTCCCTTCCAGCAGTTGAAAAATATTTTCCTCTCTAATTTCTTTTAGGAAAATTCAGTTTAGCCTTAGCAGGTTGTGTGGTAGCTTTTAAGATCCTGGTAGAGGCAGGAATAAAGTAGTTTAAATTCCTTTCAGTGATGCTGGATGGGGGTGTTACATGCTAAAGATAAAACCTCCATCTTAAAAAGAGCTCTTTAGTTCCCAGCATTTTTTTCTTGTAAGCTGATTCTGTGATTATAAAAATGTATTTTTTTGTAATGTTGAAGTGATGTTTGTTGGTAATTCTGTGAATTTCCTTAGGGATTCCAGTGCCAGGAGATGGAGCTTTAATGGAATAAGGTGGTGTTTCCATGTGTAAATACTGAGGGCAGGAAAGCTCCGGAGTTCCTCTGATACTCCAAATGTTTGTCTCAGTGAACCTAGAGTAAGAAATAACCTCTGAACTATAATAAACTGTTAATTTTGGATCAATACTGGGAGAAAATGAGTATTTGGGGTCAAACCTTGACCAGCTGGTGAGAACCATGGGTAGTTTTGACCTTCTAAAGCTTTGATTTATGAAGCTGTAAAAAGATAAACCTTTTCCAAGGCATCCTCGGGATGGAGCGGAGGTTTGGGAGAGCAGATTCCTGAGCTGAGGCAGAGTTTTGTTTTACTGCTGTTCCAACCCCTGTGTGTGCAGTGGTGCAGGGAGGGGATGAAGGCATGGAAAGGATGGAGGGAAGGAAGTCCAGCTAAAACCAGCTGGAGCACAAACCTGCCCCCAGTAACTTGTCAAAAGAAGCACCACAGGGAAAAGATAATGCACAGCACCATTACAGGCAGGGCTGCCGCTTCCAGGGCCACTTTAAATTCCACTTTAAATTATTAAATACTGTAAACGCTATAAAGTTAATTAGAAGAGGAACAAACTCTACAAAGATAAATGTGTTTTCAATATGTTTCTCAGGGAGGGTACAGTAGAAACCAGTGAATGAGAGGAAATTTATTTCTGGCAGCACTCTAGACATGGAACTGTGGTTGAACTTTTTACCCTAATTACGTCCCCACTAATGCCTGCAGCGGTCTGGAATCAAAGTGGCCCTTCAGGCCCTGGAAAGTCTCTGATGTGGCGAGCGTTTGTTGTGTGCTGAGGGTTACTTCAGAAAAAATGGAATATTGTGACAAGATTTTTCAAAATTTCTCAGTTACCACCCACCTCACTTGTTGCCTACAAAAATAGAGTAATTGTTTGCATCTGTGTGTTTTTGTCTGTCTTAGAAATAACTGTTATAAATCAATGTGACAGACCCTGAGAGCAGTTGAGGATTATATTTTCTTATATGTTTTAGGGTTATTTCTGTGTTCTACACTGTAGGAAGGATTTAAAGGACATTGGAAAGCAGAAATTTCAGGATGATTGAAGTTGTTCTCTTT